GAAATAAATCTAAACTAATATATAACCTCTTCAATAAAATATAACATTGTCCAGCAATCAAATCAAACCAAACCACCCAAGAAGATTACAAACTTGCAACAACCAATCCGTAAAAAATGGTCCACCAATCCCAATATTTTCATATCAAATAGAATTTAAAAAAAGTCCAAGAACAACAACATATTTTTCAATCATCAATAGAAAAATAATACAACCAATAATATAAATTCAAAAAAGAATGTATAATGTATAGGATATTCGAGAAACTTATGGACAATTTTCGTGAGATGAATTGCAGTTTTAAGTTGTTGTAAGGCTTCACCTACGCCAACTAAAATTGAAACTCTACCGCACTTTCACAATATAACACCACTCTGCAAAATTAATATGATTTCAAAATCAATTTTGTAATTCTTCATGTGAATCATCACAATAGGATTCAATAACTTAAAAAAAACCTTTTCAACAAATAGGGGTTAAAGTAATGACTAAAATATATTGTGCCTAAAAACTGGTATCCATTATGATATCTCATCTTCTTACTAAGCTTTAAAAATATAATTAAAACTTAAGTAATACAAAACTTTTAAAAAAGTTAAAGAGAGCAACGGTAACGAAAGCCCATATAAACCCGTTAACTGACTCTAACAACGCAACTAACTCACAATATTATTAGAATCTTAAAATTGAAAACTCTATACAAAAAACCTCAATTTAAAAACCCTAGTTTATTCAAATACAAATAGACAAAAAAGGATAACAAAAAAACTTTGTAAGTGCTATAATCTCTTTTAAACACAATCATTTACCAACTGTCAGATCAAATTTTCTTTTGGTCACCATCAATTTCAATTCACTAATGACAATTAGCAAATGGGAGTGTGAGTGTGAATTGTTGTTGGTGTGTATTGTGCGATGTTTTGTGTACTATGTGTGCGTGTGATTGTGAATGTATATTGAAAGCTGAGAAAAGGGGGACCTAAACTGTGTTCGGTCACTTATCCATGGCGTCAATTGGATAACCTTTAATACATCTATTGCACTATCCAAAGCAATTTAAACCCAAATGAATAAGCATCAAATGTCAACCCTATAAACCCAATAGAGGCCATATGATTAATGGACATTATAAATCGGGATCAAGAGTAGCATTATAGCGAGGGAAATTACCCCGTTGAAAAAAGATATAATACCATATTCAAAACACACACATACACATAACACTCGACTTACCCTACATAGGAAAAAAATGGAAAGTTTGTCTCGCGCCGCAATTTAAGTTCTGCAAAATTTAGTGAGCGCAAAATAATAAACAAAATAAATACTAAAATTATGCAATTAAAACCTCATAAGCCATCAGTACACAACAACAACGTAATTTCCAAAAACTAAGTATGTGTGCTTGTTTTACACGTGTGGGTGTTCTGTGTGCCTATATGTGTGTTGTATACTGTGGACTGTGTGTGTGATTTTGTGTATTGAAGACAAAAAGATCAATATAGAGAGAGAAACAGAGACCTAACCTGTGTTGGGTCACTTGTCCATAGTGTTGTACTTTTTCTTTGTCATAGTGCAAATTAAGTTTCAAGATCAACCATTGTTAGAACAACTAATAAGCAAAAAAATTATTATAAATTCTTAATCAATCAAATTCCGTTCAATCAACCACTTTGAATATCAAAAAAATAAAAGAGTCCAAATTAAGAACATTAAATCATCTAACTAATCAAAAAACCAAAAATAAATATAAAACCATGAATCAAACCTAGATTAATACCTTACATTTGAACATTAAAACAATTCTAGGGGACAAATCATATTTTCATAAATGTACACATAAATTAGATTTTCTATGAACAAAAGAAAAAAATAGATTTATCTTATTCACAAAATTCATATTAAATTAACCAAACCTTAAGTAATAATTAAATTAGAATTACACAACTTGCATATACACATAATACTTATACACACCTACAATAAAAGACACAAAACTACTCCTCTACAAAATTAATCCTCAGGAAACATATAACTCAAATTGACTAAATCAATAAATTATAAATATTTGTTAAATCCATAGATTCATTCTATTGTAAAAATGCCAAAATCGGATACATATAAATGTATAAGGTATCCAATATTTCGCCCCTTTATCCTATACTTAAATTGATCAAAGTAAACCCACATTAATCAACTTTAAAACCAATATATGACATAAGATTTAAATAATCAAGTAGAACCACATTAACAAACTACAAAACCAATACATGACATAGGATTTAAATAACCTAAAACTTATTAAAGTCTCAAATTTCACCATTTTCAAGCAAATCCACATTAATCTACTTCAAAATTAATCAATTGATGGTAAAAATCAATATGTATAGATAACACTTGATCAAATATTTGATTTCAATTTCATTAACAAACTCTAACTAAGCACAATATGAAAATTGAAAATTTCTAGCGTTTTGAAAATTACCTAGCTATTCTGAAAAGAAAAAAAAAATCTAGCGACATGAGAGTTGAGTGGACACGATTGCCACTTGAATTCAACCACAACAGAAATTTCCTCCCAATTAGTATCAAATCAAGAAGAGAAAAGCACAATTGTTGTTAACCATACAGAAAAGAGAAAATTTTTAATTTTCAAAATATTTTAATAGCATAACCAAAAATTGTGTGTGAAAAATAGGATTTGGGGAGGGTATTGTCATTGTGCGCACCAAGAAAAGTGTGAAAAACAGTGTGTCTGTGTGTCCGTGTTTGTGTTGTGTCTGTGAGTGAATGTGCGTTTTGTCTGTGTGTGAGTTAGTATGAAGATAGAGAGAGGAAGAATGTGATTGTGCGTGTGTTATTGTAGAGAGAGAGGGAGGGAGATTACCTGGATCTATTGCAGAGAAGAGGGGTTAATCTATGGTGGGCGGATCCATGAAGACAGAGAGAGAAGAGGGAGAATTAAGATTAATGATGGTTCGCCGGTAATTGATGGTGGCTTGTTGCGTCACCGTTGGTGGTTTCATCGGAAGGAGAGAGGTAAAAGTCATGAGACAGAGAGAGGGAGATGTTGGTTGATCATCGGTGGTTGAATCAGCGCAGGGGAACAATAGGTCCGAATTCTTCTAAGAGAGAGAGGGAAAGAGGAAATAGAGAGAGTGTCTAATGAGTTGGGTTTGAGTAACATGTAGGAGTTGGGTAGTGTGTAGGAGTGTTCTAATATGGGCGGGATTTTGGTTTATGGTGGAATGTATTGTGAGCCTTTGGATTAAATTAAAGGAACTAAGATGAAATCTAGACCACTGAATTAAAATTAGATTAAATTTGAGTTGTTCTTGTGTTTTCTCAATTGAATTAGAAATGAATAAATTTTAAAATAAAAATAATTCAAAATAAACTTTATCTTATTATTATAGAATATATATACAGAGAGAGGAGATGAGATAGTGCGTGTTTAAAATCTCTAAAAGATAGAAGATAGAGAGTTACATGAGAGATAAGAGTGTTATACTTAAGTTTAATTATGATTGTAAGATAAAATGCCTAAAAATAATCTGAGCGGCGAAAAATTAAAGATAAATAAATCTATCTACTTTATTTTATATATATGTGTGTGTGTGTGTGTGTGAGAGAGAGAGAGAGATAAAATAGTAATATTTAAACACAAAAAAATAGCAATGTTTAAAATAAAAAATAACAATAAATGTAAAATTAACGTTTCGAAAAATAATAACGTATAATATTAACAGTAATATACTCAATAAAAAAGTAGTAACGTGAAAAATATTCCATGAACACCATGCATTCAAACAAAAGGGGATAAGGGCCAGATCAAACAACATGCATTCAAACAAGAAAATAATAACATTTAATGACAAAAAATAGTAACATTCAATATTAATATTTCAAAAAATATTAATATTCAATATTAATATTTCGGGAACAGGGAAGAAGGGATAGGTGCTTTGTTTTTTTTTTTTTTGGCAACTAAAAGAATTGAACTTTAATATATTTTCTCTCACTTGTATATGTTACAATAATTAGTTTTATATAGAAGAATGAAATGATTTGAATTGGGTACAGAAGATAGAATCAGTTGAGTACATAGATGAGCATATAAGTTTGAAATTGATGGACTTCAAAAAAGAAAGCAACAATGCAATGCTTGAGCAGTCATTGGTGTCAATTATTCATGTGGCTTTGTAATGCTTGAAAGAATCACCAGAGGAAAGGATCAACAAAAGAGATTTAGCGGTACAACTAAAGAAGATCAGAACAGAGTTACATCAATATGCACGGCAAGACAATCCGAAATTTTCAAACCCACTTCACTGTTCATGCCGGGAGAGAGAAGAAGAAGAATAACTAATTTGAAATTCAAATTTATGGAAAAAAATCTTACTGTAGATCTTCAATGTCATAGAAAGTCCATTCAATGCCCATTAAAGCTGGCCCATTGGTCGGCCAATTAAGAGTCTGAAACTGTTAGGGCTTACATTGGACATGGGTATTTATGATGGATTGGGCCTGAAAAATCTGGCCGAAGTGCCCGGCCCAACCCACTGCTACGCTTATGTGGAACTAACAGGTTAAAAGAGGGGCAAACTTAAATTCCAAGTGGCGGTTGGTGTGTCTCCAGGGATGATTAACTAGCCATAGACCAATTTGCTGCTCTCTAACACCAATGCTCTTTCTTTATATTATTATCTTAAAGCATCATCGTACTTTGGTGGTAGGGGTGTCAAGTAGGCGAACCACTCGAATTCGGCTAATTTTGAGTCGTTTAAGTTCTTTTGTTTTAAAAAAAAGAGAATATACATGTTCAAATTTTCAAGCTCATATTCAAGTCAAATTGTAAAATATTAGAAGCAGGTCAAAGAATTCATATGGTTACAATTATGTGTTGGGGTGGGATGGTGGCTTGTGGTTGGTGGTGGTGGTGGAGGAGGAGGAGGACGAAGGAGGGGGAAGGAGGAGAATAGAGTCAATTGCTAAGTTTGTGATGGAAACAAATGTGCTCACTGAACTTTATAAACTCATACATGTATGTCTTAAACAAAAGAAGACCTATCAATTTCCTTAACTTTCACAAAAATTGATCAAATGCATCATATGAACAGAGAACTGCAAATTGCTCTACAATTATGCTAGGTAAGGGTCATGCCTTCAACTACCTAGGATCTAGCATAGTAACAGTCACTTGGTTCACGGTACATGTTTCATCTTGTTTACTTGAAGACGAATCCGTTTCAACAAGCTTTCGTCCCAGGCAAAAACCCGGGTTTTTAGGCCGGGGCAGTGGTGAAGTTTCACTGCTTAACATCAACACCACAGTCGACATGGTTGGTCTATCTTCTGCTTGCTCTTGGACGCACAAGAGACCGACGTGTATGCATCTCATTACTTCATTTGGGGAATTTAAATCACCGGCTGATGAATCCATTAGTTCTAGCCCTCTTCCTTCTCTCCATAGCTTCCATGCCTGCAACATGGCAACAATTATTTTCCCAGTTACCAAACAGTGTGATTGAAGATGCGATTTGGACATAAAGCGGATTGTTGGAAGAAAACTAGACTTATTTTCATACTTACATGTCCAAGAAGATTAAGTTGGTTGTTTGCATTATAGAATCCTCTATTCTTCATACCAGTTACGATCTCCAGCACCAAGACACCAAAGCTAAAAACATCGGATTTCATTGAGAAGAGGCCATCCATTGCATATTCAGGAGACATATAACCACTGCACAGCACGAACAAAATTCAAACCATATACCAAAAATAAAATGGATTAAGTGAAGGATGCTACAGAAGATGTGCCCTAGAATGAGTGCAGGACACTCCTTATGGTGCTTACTATGTTCCCACCACTCTTTTTGTACTTGCTTCAGTCTGATCTCCTCCGAAAATTCTTGCCATGCCAAAGTCTGATATTTTCGGGTTCATTTCCTTGTCAAGTAGAATGTTGCTTGCTTTGAGATCCCTGTGGATAATTCTAAACCTCGAATCTTGGTGAAGGTACAGAAGCCCTCGAGCAATCCCACAGATGATGTTGAACCGCCTTTGCCAATTGAGCAGTGAGCTTTTTTCTTTATCTGAACAATACATTTATTTTGGATTTCATTACCATTAACTCTACATTTCAGTTCTAAAGCAAGTGTATATATCAACAAATAGAAGATGATTAAACTTGACTATGATGATATGGAGGAGTGAGAGGGACTAACTGAATAAACTGGAATCCAGGCTTTTGTGCACCATGTACTCATATATTAGCATCTTTTCTTCCATCTCAACGCAGCAGCCAAGGAGTCGAACAAGATTTCTGTGTTGAAGCCTCGCAATCAACCTGACCTCGTTCTTAAATTCCTCGATCCCTTGCCCTGAGTTCTTCGAAAGCCTCTTCACTGCTATATCTTGACCTTCTACCAACACACCCTGATATTGCCATTCATACGATTTTTATTTAAGTTCTTCTGTTATACGATCACATCAGTATGCTAATCTTCTGATAACATACCTTGTAAACACAACCGAAACCACCTTGACCTAGTTTATTCGCATCAGAGAAGTTGTCTGTAGCCATCACTATGGTACTAAAATCAAACAATGGTAGCTCAAGCTCATCCTTTGTACTTTCACCCGAATACTCTCTGTTACTTGGGATTACTGCCTCATTTAACAGAAGGTCTTGACTTCTTTCATGTAGACCTGGTTTTACATGGTAAGAGACACATTAGACATACAAAAGTAATACATTTATAAATTCGTGTTGATTCATTCAAATTCAATGGTTGATACCTCTACGCTGTACTGTATTTTTAAGTGCACTTTGCAACGTCCTCCTCTTCCATATGAAACATATGCTTAGTCCAGATAGCAACATAGCAATGCCAATTGTAACACTAGCAAGCTCGATAATTCGTGTAGTCTTGTCAGAATCATTCCCAGATCCTGTGTTTCCTGCTGCTTTTGAAATGGACACACTGATAATCAGTGATTATACGTTGCAGCATAAGCATAGCATCCTAGAACCATGTACATAGTAAGGGAAATAGTTGCAGCAACAACTGCAGCTAAAGCACATAATTTCTAATTAATATTTGATGATAGTTCATTGGTGTCAAGGTTTCAGGACTTCCCATTGTGCAAAAACAAGTGAGAGTTCTTAAGAAAAAGTGCCATACAACAGAGAACAGAAAAATATATCCTCCATTTTCTGCAAGTCCTATGATAACACAGCCAATTATTCAGATAAAGCATGGGGTGCTACCTGAAAATGTTCAGGAATTCAGGATAAGTAGATGGAATTTATAGGAAGAATTATTATAATGATCATTTGGATGTTTTTTTTTTTTCTAACTATTTTTTTCTAGTGGCCATATAGAGAAATAGTCTTTTACACAATTGAAACAGACTACAAATATAGGAAGATCACCCAAAGGAAGGCATTAAGAAGAAAATATGATGCCAACAAAATGTAAAGATGGAAATGTGACCCCATATCTTATGGCAGTCTGTGTTGTATCGATCGTTTTTTCGTCGTGTCATTTATGAATTTGTGTCGAGCATTAAATAACCAAAACTCAACCCATTTAATTAATCATATCATATCGACTTGACCTGTTTATTTTTGTGTCGTGTTCGTGTTGACTCATACAATCCGTTAATCAAAAATTTAACACCAAGATTTAAGTCTAATACTACATTATCTCCAAATCGAACTCATACTCATATTGTTTTTATAAACTACAAATTAACTTAATAAATATAATAATAAAAATAAGTAAAAAATCCTCCATTTGTATAAGGATTATGTCGATTTTTCAGTGTTTGTATTTAATACTAACCCAACATATTTATTATTCGTGTTAAGAAATATAATTTACAGGCTCGTGTCGAGAAAGTCAACCCTATTCCACTAATTTAGTGTCGGATTCGAGTCGTGTTAAAAATTATCACCCCTTATCTTAACTATGAAAGATCAATAAGAATAAACAACATGACAAGTTCAGTTCTATAAAAACTTCCTTCTATGTCCCAATCTGGTGTTACAATGTGGAGGTACTGAATTCCCTCTGCATTCTGCGATGATTAAATTCAAAAGTGTTAAGACTAAACTCATATTCAAAAAGGGTTTTTGCCTATCCACCATGATACCTTCTAACTTTCCTCTTTCCCATAAGGGACTCCACAGAAATCAAGTAAACATCATTTACTCATTGCCCACAGCACCCTTTTTCTTCCACAAAAGGATCTAAAATTATAGTTTATTTCCATGTGGAAAAAGAAAAGAAAAGAAAAGCTTTTCTATAAAACTAGGGGATGCTAGGTGAGAATTATTAATGATGCATCCAACTATGGAACAATTGCAACAGCAGATTGCATGCCACCTATGATTGGTCAGATCACTCACTAACAGTGGGCTCCACATTGTTATTAAACCCAAATTTTATGGCTGCTTTCAAGGATACCCCAATTTTTCAGCTATCTGCAGAATTCAACTGTTGATTGATCGTGATTTCCATCGTGATTATCTTCCTTAATTGACAAGGAAATATTAGAAATGGACAATTCTACAGTTTTGGATAACAAGTTGAGGCCAATTCCATCGAGAGCAATCATATTGGTAGGTTCCATTTGATAATGACCTAACAAATGGTCCATTTGGGTTTTTTTTTTTAGTTTAATAATAAGAGTATTCAGTTCAATTTACGTATATTTTAACCAATATTTTCTCCAGTTCGATAAAAAGAAAGTCATAGGACTAGAGTATTCCTGAGGTATAAATCCTTCATGACCTGACCCATTAGATTACCAAGATTCGAATTCAGGAAGTCTGAATTTACAGTTTCTCTCTGTTACCGCTTGAACAACTCCTTAAAATTATATTTTGAATTTTCAACAAAGATATCATTTATATACGTGATTAATAATTTTTATTTAAATATGACACAACATGACCTATAAGGCCCCTATAGGTGAGAAGAAAAACCAAAATTAATAAGACATGACTTTTAATGTGTTCACCTAACCTAACCAGAGAATTATTATCTTAATTAAGATCAAAGAAGGAAAAAAAACAGAGGTAGAATTATTATCTTAATTTAAATATATTTAATGTATGAAATAGACATACTTTTGTTCTACTCCCTCAATAAATTTAGTGGTGGGGCCCCAACCCACACCTACGACATCAATAACGTCGGCCAGGGCGTTAAGGTTTGGAGCCGAAACACGACTAGGCTGGGCTGGGACCCATGTGACCGTCTAAGGAAGTAGGTTCATTAGCCTTTTTGGGTGGGTCCCACTTCATTTATATAACGATATTAAAAATAATTTCAACATATGACGCAAACAAATTGACAATGATGAGATGAATAAATAAATCATATTAAATTACTATTATATATAATTCGATTTCGAGCAGACTGACCTACTTAGTTAATGTTATATGTAAGAAAGTACATTATATAGACTTTATATTTCTTGATTTATTCTACAAATTAATTTTGTAATATTAATAATTTTTTATTTTGACATATATAATTTCATTTAACTCAACTTAACTCTATCAAATTTTATTTTCAACTATTTGAAGTTTTTTTTGGATAACGAAAGAAATCCCTAGCCTATTTCTAGTGAATAGAGGTGCGTTTATATTGTTCAGACTCGTGTGTCTGAGTAAAATTAAGGACAAATTTTGAGTACATGAATTGATCCCTCAATACATATACCAATTAAATCAAAACTTGTGTTTCGATTAAAATTTAAACTCACAACACTAAAGATTTGAATGCAATTCGCGTTCAAAAACACGTGGTAAAAGTATGGTTATGATACATGATAGACACCTACGTTGCATGGTTTTCACACTCCACCAACCCCACCTAATTGTGTAAATGATCCGATCGGTGATGGGTATTTGGCTAGACTTGTTTTGTTTTAACACAAATTTTTCTCGACATCAAATCACTTGGTCGGTTCGATAGCATTGTCATTAAAGCCACCGTTTTAGGCTCCTGATTTTATAGGCCTCATTTTAAGGAGGTGGAATTAAGTTTAATATTATTTTTAAGATTTTGAATAAGATTTTTAAATTAATATTCAATTAATTATAATTTCCATAACATTATTTCTAAATTAAACATTGACATACCTAGATCAGAAGCAGCCACTCTGACGTACAGATCTTGTCCACCTTCAGTGGCAGCATATTGCCTCATGTCAAACAGATCGGAAGTCCAAATCACACACCCGGAACCGCCGTCGGTGATGTCGGAGTTCGCATACGCCGTGCAAGAACAGTTTTTCCGGCACATCTCTTCACACTCACGACGACTCATACTCTTATCCACAAACGAACTCGACGTCTCCGGCAACTTCATATTATTCGCCAGCCAAAACCCATCGTCCCGGCAGTTCAACTTCGTCTTCCTCACACACCCATCAGACCCATCCCTCAGATTCCATGCCGTCGGATTCTTCGGCTCAAACCCTTTCACGCAATTACAGACGGGAGAGTCATTCGTGTCACAGAAGCCATAAACACCACACTCACCGTAGTCATCGCATTGATCTTTCGGAGCATCCCAAAAAGGGTTCCAAATTTTGCTAGTATCGATCCATGTAAATCGCTGAAGAACACCAGTTGGGGTGACTAGTACTCTTGAATATAACGACTGGTTTTTCAATTCAAACGAATAGTAAATCTCATCTGGGTCCATCACAAATATGAAAATAAGGATAGGACTTGTCTTCATTTCTGGTACACCACTGAATCTCAGGCCATTCCAAGGGCCACTCCGATACTCTCTCTGTTGTTTCTTCATCAGAAAAACTTCTGGGAAGCCATTAATGTCGAACTTGAATGTATAGTCACCTGAAGAAGGATCGTAACTGGTCTTCCATGATGTTAAAAATCTGTTCAGGCCTGTTTTAGAGTCCCATCCAAGCTTCATTCCCGGTAACAAAGTGTCGGTGGGATGATCGAAGCTTTGCCATATGTAGTTTTCCGGGTTCAGATCATCTTCCCGGCGAAGAACAAAGTTTCCTGTGTCCAAAATCTGAGCAACTGTGTTGAAACCCTGTGTTTGATTAGACGACCAGATGATATTTCCCGATTGATCGGCGAGAACAAGGTTGCCGTTGTCGGCGATCTTTAAGACTCCGGTTGAGTTTGTGAGAGGGTTGTCTCTGTTAGCAACCCAAACATACGTCTTCATCGGAATGTTCTTGTACCAAATACCCACATACCATTTGTCCGGGTGTGGATTAAAGAACCCTAATTCAAATACTTCTCCGGCGGAAACGATGGTTTCGCCATTTGTCAAAGGTTGTGTTGGGTTGATGGTGTCAATGGCGGCTATGCCTGAAAGTGAGAAGAGAGAGAGAAGGATGAAGAAGCTCCACAGATTGTAACAATGGAGGCTGATTGTGTTTCTCATTCTTCTCTCTCCCTTTGCTCTCTAACATTAGGTGGTTTGGGGATGGTAGGTTTTCTTCATGTTTAAGACATCTGGATTGTTTGAAAGGAAAGGGGAGAAAAGAATATTTTGTTGCCCCCAACTTGGCATCTTTTGGGGGTCTACCTTGGTCTATCTTTGAAAATGAGGTATAAATTTAGCCTCCAAATTTCAAAAATTGAAACTTTACCATTCCTATTCATACCTAAATTAAGAAAAGTACTGTTTTTGATAACTAAAAATCAAACATAATTATGTGTCAAACAATAGAGTAAATAGCATTAGTTAATTAAAAATATAACGAATTTGTGTTACACCGATGTTTTTTTTGGTACAAGTTGTTCAGACGTATTAACTATTTTTCCGAGCTCAACGATCAATTACAATAACTTAAATTTGGGTTAGAACATGTTTTTAAAGAAATAAAAGTGGTTAACCTTTAGAAAATATAAGAAGGAACTGAATTTAAGGCCTCTAAATTAGAAATTAAAGTCAAAATA